TTCATTTTAACGTTCCTTCAAACTTCATGTGTCCGTTCACGCAAAGTCCGGTCAAATAACGTCTGATAAGGTACTGGTGAGATCATATATAAATGAAAGGGACGACCATTATACCTTGGGTCCGATTCGGGCTAGCACGCCCAGGCCAAGACATCTTGCGTCTCCACCACCGGACGGGCTAGTGGACAGAGTTCTGATTTCATTTTTTTGTTGCCTACGGCCCTGTTTCGAACTGAATTAACTTTATTGACGGACTGTCTTATTTTTGGTGCTGCGAAATTATAGACTTCTACTCCTACTTACTTTCAATCAAGGACCAATAATTGAGCCTTTACCGATTTCAGAATAGACAATTAATCGTAATACCTTAGTTATGGGGGGTCTAATTTGGTCCTTTTCGGGCCAAAGAACCATATTCAAACAATTTACATGTTAATATGTGATCGACTGAAATTTTGAGTTTTACGTTTATAAATCACAAAATAAAGCCATTAAATAGATATTAATAAAAACGTAAGTGCCGACTAAATACTTAGGAGAAAGCAAATCCGCGGCAAATCGGGGTTTTTATTGTTCACATTATGTACAGGGCCGGGGGGGGGGGGGGGGGGGGGGGGGGCAAAAGTCAGTACCCATACGTTAGCTCAATCACTGAGTGCCCAATTGAAATAATTCTTTTCAAAAAAAAAGAGAGTTATTATAGCTACTCAGATGCATCTGATGCTACTCAGATGCAACCGAGATATGAAGCACAACGAGTTTGTTCATTATACGTGCGATCAGGTGATTGGGTTGAGGCTATAGATCCGCATTACGGGAATCGTGCAGAGAGTCCAATTATGGTGTCGTAATTGGGTAATCATTGAGTACCCAATCAATTTTGCTAACGAGATAAACAAATTGCTTAATAGCTTCGTCATTTTATTTTTTAAATCCGTTTCGCACCATCTTTTCAGATTATATTCCAGATTGAGTGAACTATTGCAATATGTTAGTGTTACAATGGAGTCTCTAACAGGTTTACAAACACCAGTATAAGCAATTCAATGTTGATTGGGTGTGGCCCCCAAAAATCTAATTTTCAAATTTTGGTGACGGAATCCTTGAACAAGTAAGGTACAGAATGCCATCTGCAAAGCAACAACTCTCAAATATAAAACACGGCGGTGGTATAAGACCCAACGTATGGGTACTGACTTTTGCCCCCCCCCCCCCCCCCCCCCGGGCCCCCCCCCCCCCCCCCCCCCTGTATATTAAGGAAATGACTGCGGTAAATCGGAATTTGCGGTTAATCAGGGGCGCGGCGCTTTACTGTAGATCGATTTAAATCATGATCAGTTAAAAAGTAAAAGTTGTCAGAAGTGGGATTTGAACCCACGCCCACATTCGTGGACCAGAGTTTGAATCTGGCGCCTTAACCACTCGGCCATCCTGACATGTTTAATCGAGAATTTTGCAAATTTTATACCGCTGAATAGCGCCTGCGTCACTTTATCATTGTTTCCATACATGAATTTTGAGTAGCTGCAGGTATCTAATGTCATCCCTCATGGATAATATAACTTTATTTTTAACTTATTATCGACTTATCGGGGGTGGAAAAATGTCATGCTCAAACATTGTATTATATATAAGACTTATAAGTATATATATAAGTATCATAAGTATAATATAACTGTATTAACATTTGGATACCCCCAATATCTCAGATCTACATATCATTTTTCCTGAACTACGAGCTGATCCTAATCCTACTGATCCTGGCAACAGTGCTGATAGTTGTCAGTGCTCGGACAATAAAAAGAAGCAGTGTCAGCGCTGGAATACAACTAGAACGCCAAAGTAAGTTTTGGAAATTTTCCAAAAATTAACCAAATTATGAGGGAGAATTGAATGAGAAGCAAGAATGAAATTTGTAACGTTTATCTGTTTATGAATTTGAACATTTTTTTCTCCGTACATTAGTGATTAGAGGCCTTCCTATGTGGACACGGGACAACTTCAGCTCTTTTTGAAGCAATTTATCTACCCACACCACCCCCAACTCAATGCTCTTTCAATTGCTGATTAAAATTAATTATTCTGAAAGCAAGGTTTACGGTATTTTATCTGTTAGAGGCCTTAAAACCAAGCGTATTAATCGTATTTAAACCTGGTTACGATAATACTTAGATTATTTTATTTATTCTTGGTGCTGTAAGTTTTTCATGCTTTGTAATTGTAAAATTATAGTGAAAAATACCCAGAATAATTTTAGAATACCGGTCATATTTTCAGAGTCAGAGCAGGATGAAATGTTGACGTGTGCTATCTCCATTATGGTGACCTCTATCTTCTGTTACTCCATTTACATAGGCTTCCGATTCGTTAACATTCGCAATATAACCGTCTCCAAATTTATCTTCTTCAATTACAAATATTTCAAATGTTTTTCGGAGCAGATTCTTTTGAATCTCAACTCTGCAGTTAACCCCTTTTTATATATTTTGTATAATCGGAGTATTAATAGGAAGTTGGCAATGAATAGGAGTTTGAAGGCAAAGTATTCTAAAAAATGTCATTTTACAAATTCCATAGTTTTGTCCAGGATAACTTTTTTGAGGGAGCAATATATATGAAATTATATTTTACAGTATATTATTTCATGAACCCTTAACTTATAAACCAAGGATAGTTCTCTTCTTTCATTAGAAATATTTTTATTGTTGCTCAATGTCGCTAATACTTAGATTTTCTTATTAATTCTTAATGCTGTAAGTTTTTCGTGTTGTTAATCTTAATTGGTAATCATTTTTTGTGCTTGGCAAAAAAAGAATTTCATTTTTTCTATAAACTTTTTGATCTTAAACTGAAATTCTTTGGTCAAGAAGCCAATTATTCAAAAATTGCAACAGTTATAATGATGGGTGGTGTTCCGTTGTGACGATTTAAATGCAAGTTTACATATTGAGATATTAGTTTTAAAGATCAGTTTAACCATCATATATTTATTCATGTTGCGTATCCCAAATATCGGCGGCTTTGCGGCCGATAAGTGGTATGCAACGTATGTCAACTATCATACTCATAGTATTACATGAATGATTTAACTGGTATTTCAAGCTTGATGTCTGGGTTAAAATGACTAAATTCATCATTTATTGGTGTCATTGTCAAATGCGTCGTGTGAGGTATTATATAAAGGAGTGGTATTTTATTTAACTTAAATTCTAACTCATGATAATAGTTAGGATATCAAAGGCAGAAACCTAACAGCTTATCAAGAGGACAGGAATGTTTAACTATCAAACTGCATCACAGTTGGTTCGTGTGCACTTCTAAAACATAGCGCACTTTAACGTACGAACAAAAATCATAACGCACGCTTTACGCACTTAACACTTTCCTGACAAAATTGACGCACGAACCAACTTCAGAAAATCCATTACGACTGTAATTCTTAGATTTCTAATGTGAAAGGAGGTGGGAGGCCAGTAATTTTACTGATCGATTGGTTTATATTATGATGTGATAGGCTGATCCACAACATATCAACGAAGCGGAATGGACCTTTTGTGGGAGCAATCTGTGATCAAAGCAGTATAGGACCAATGGCGCCTTCTTATCAAACATTATGAAGGCAATTATTAGAAATTTGTGAATTTAATAATACAGTTATTATACTGCAGAAGATTATTGTGAATAATGAAATTTGAAAACGATAGATAAATTATGTTTCACCTGCATACGAGTAGTCACAGAGGCATATTCTCTGAATTTACAGCTGGATACAATGAAATAACTCCGCCTCCGAAAACGTGAAACCATGCATTTTTCTTTCTTCCGGCATGCCGGCCCTGTATTCCGTATTTTTAGCCAGTATTAACCATCAATGGCGCGGATGAATCACCAATGTCGCTTGTCTAGTTTCTTCTTCATGAACATGTGTTTGCAGTGCAATGATTTTGATCTGTGATGCGATTTTTTGTTCTTCCTCACCTTTGAATTCCTCAAAAAGTCTAATTGCATAAATTTGTACCGTCATACTATCGTACTAGACTTTAACGTATTAACTTGATTAAGCCATTTATATTCTCTTGCTTAGTGCTTACTGAGCAATCATCTCTCACTGAAACTACATACGGTATTTTCATTGAGGGGGCGTGTAGCCGAGTGCAAGGATAAGTCCATGTTTGAGAAGACGTGTGGGTGTGTACAAGTGGTACCCCCCGAGAATATAATGGTAAGTACAAGTCGTGTACTCTGGAGACTTGGGTTCGTTGTGGGCTTCCTCATTACCGAGAGTGGTATGCTAACTATTCCAATACAAAGCTAGAAAAAGCTATGTGTCATTGTGACACTCCCTGCCAGGAGCCAAAGTACGAAGTCGTCATAACTTCTCTCTCCCCTGCCTTCGCCAGGACAGTTCATAGAAGTGTTGGAGCCATCGACATGTTACATTCTGCATATGAATTCTCCAATCCTGAGTTTGATATCTCACCGAAGAGGTTCCCAAGGTCGTATTTAATGACTTCATTGACCTCGTATTTGTGCATACTGGTGAATATAATCTCCATGACCATCAAATTATCCAGAACATCTTGAGGTGATGTGTACGAGATATTAAACACAGGATTAATATCTCGTACACATCACCTCAAGATGTTCTAAAAAATAAGTATCAATTTAGTTTACACATACAAAATGTCATAATATCAATTATAAAGTTATAATGTTCTTAGACAAAGAACCTTCACTTTTCAATAAATTAACTTTGCGTATTATGTACAAATATTTTAGAATTTGTGGAATTGTGGTTCAATTAAGGTTATATGGAATCATTTTGAATCAACGATATGGAAACCGTTTAAATTTATCAACTTTTAAAAATTTTATAGCCGTAACCTCACCCCGAACTCTTTAATCTTTGTCCATGATTTATGGCTGTAAAACATGTATCACCTATAGTGCTGTTGATTAAACGACACCATTTGCAAAGACTTAAAAGCCACTTTGACTGTTCATAGTCCGTATATGAGGCTCCGAAACTCCGAAAAGCTGATTTTTCCGTCAGTATTGAGGTCTGCTTCCTCCAACAGATAAATAATGTCTTTTGTTAGAATTCCAACGTCTGCTTTCTGCATCGCAACCGCTACCTTCAAAAGAGTAATTAGGATCGGTCAGATTATCATAAAAATAACAATTTGATACAATTGAAGCGCGCGTGGTGGAGACATAGCCATTGTTATGAAAGTGTAAATAAGTAAATACGATGATAAAGCTCAGAGAATTGATGTCTGAAGACTAAAGATAAGCAATGGCAGATTACATGACTCCATAACACAACATAACACTCCATAACACTACATACCACTACATAATACTCCATAACACTCCATAACACTCCATAACACTCCATAACCCTACATAACACTCCATTACACTACATAACACTACATACCGCTATATAACACTCCATAATACTCCATAACACTCCATAACACTCCATAACACTCCATAACACTCCATAACACTCCATAACACTCCATAATACGCCATAACACTCCATAACACTACATACCACTACATAACACTCCATAATACTCCATAACACTCCATAACACTCCATAACACTCCATAACCCTACATAACACTCCATAACACTACATAACACTACATAACATTCCACAACACTCCATAAAACTCCATAAAACTCCATAACACGCAATAACACTCCATAACACTCCATAACACTCCATAATACTTCATAACACTCCATAACACTCCATAACACTCCATAACACTACATAACACTACATAACACTCCATAACACTCCATAACACTCCATAACACTCCATAACACTCCATAACACTCCATAACACTCCATAACACTTTAAATAAGTAAATACGATGATAAAGATCAGAGAATTGATGTCTGAAGACTAAAGATAAGCAATGGCAGATTACATGACTCCATAACACAACATAACACTCCATAACACTACATACCACTACATAACACTCCATAACACTCCATAATACTCCATAACACACCATAACACTCCATAACACTCCATAACACTCCATAACCCTACATAACACTACATAATACTCCATAACACTCCATAACACTCCATAACACTACATAACACTCCATAACACTCCATAACACTACATAATACTACATAACACTACATAACACTCCATAACACTACATAACACTACATAACACTCCATAACACTCCATAACACTACATAACACTCCATAACACTCCATAATACTCCATAACACTACATAACACACCATAACACTCCATAATACTCCATAACACTCCATAACACTACATAACACTACATAACACTACATAACACTCCATAACACTACATAACACTACATAACATTCCACAACACTACATAACACTACATAACACACCATAACACTCCATAATACTCCATAACACTCCATAACACTACATAACACTATATAACACTCCATAACACTACATAACACTACATAACATTCCACAACACTCCATAAAACTCCATAAAACTCCATAACACTCAATAACACTCCATAACACTCCATAACACTCCATAACACTCCATAACACTCCATAACACTCCAGACACTTATTTTACTTCGGCGTATTCCAACAGCCACATTGTTACACAGGTGCAACCAGCAAAGTACAGGAAGCCGAAGGATTTTTTTGGCCAGTGACGGTTAAGGAAGTGTGTACCATACTTTCTTCGCCCGAGATTTTGCTGCAATGTGCAGCTCTTCAGTTAACCCTTACACCCGATTTCTCGAGTATTCGGCTGAGTAGACCGGGGGCTGCATAGACCACTCACGATCCTTAGCTGAACGTCAACGACGCTCACCCCACGACCAGGCAGACAGTGGGATTCGAACTCGCAACCTCACGATTTGGAAAGATGGCGTTCTAACCAACTGCACTACCTGGCCGTTAAATAACATAACACTCCACAACACACCATAACACTCCACAACACACCATAACACTCCATAACACTCCACAACACTCCATAACACTCCACAACACACTATAACACTCCATAACACTCCATAACACTCCATAACACTCCATAACACTCCATAACACTCCACAACACTCCATAACACTCCACAACACACCATAACACTATGCTCACCTCCTCATGAGATACCTCTCCATTTCCGTCCGCATCAATCAGATTGAAAGCGTCCATAATGTCATCTGAGTTTGGTTGTTCTGCCATTATTTCCTCTATGTACAGCATCAGCTCATCAAAATCTACCGTGCCGTCCTGGTCTGTGTCAACCTTTAAAGAAGCTCATTGCATTATTATACATAATTGTGCAATTATGCAATTAACTGGGTGCTGAACCTAGACTTAATATCGTTAATATAGACTGAACATTGGTCATGCTCTAGAGCTTTCCAGCATTTTCTCAAATGCTAATTTTCTCGTTACATAGCCCATGCCCTACTATCACTCCATACAAAATACATGGCGAACTGATGTTTTGAAAATAGTCGAAAAATAAAAGTAAATGTCCACTTTAATAGATCATTCACCTCCAAAGAAATAGTCAAACAAACAAATGTCGGTAAATTGGTGAGGTTGTAAAATTATAAGTAAAACTATAATATAACCTTTTCGAAAAAAGCCTTGAGATCCTCTTTCAGAGCAATAACATTGAAACTAGCAAACATTTTCTGCAGCTCATCCAGCTCCAGGGAACCGTTAGCATCAATATCATAAGTTATGAACATATTCTTCATCTCCGTCTCCTCCTCCTTCGTCAACGTACTCGGGTTAAAGTCCATCTTTAAGCTTTTAAGGCATGTGTATATTCTTTGGATGATCATTCAATCGTAAACGTAAATCGTAGTAAGTAAAGTTGAAATTATTTAAAATTGTTTGAATATGGTGTGAAAGCACACTCTCGATGAACGTTTTGACGTTGTTGATTTCATATTTTCTCGGATTCTCTGTACACCAACGACACTGCGACTAAAGGCACTAATGACAAATAAAACAATAACAAAGTAACAAAAAAAGCCTATAGGCTATTTTTGTACGAGAGAATATGAAATCAACAACTTTAAAATTGTTTAGAATAACTTGTTTTTTTAGTTAAATATTGCTTCCTTAACGTTATTAAGTTATTATTGTGTACAAAGTTAACCATCCACTAGTAAGATTCATAGCAATAAATATTGATGATTTCCCCTTAAGAAAGCTAAAAGAAGTAGAGAATTGACGGGCTTACAAGTTCTGCTTAAACATTTTCGGAATACGCGTCAGTTATTATACCATGCCTTCTAATTGTCTTGAATAATTAACGTTTAATTGGGATCAAGATGCAGTAGAACAAAACAAAGCATTTAACATATAATTGGTAAATTTCAGTCTTTAAAAGAATCCTAAGTTAGAAATTTGCATTAAAATAATCGTCTGAAAATAATATTTCTGTAACATCAAGCTTGGCGTTATCAAAATGAAAGAACAAACGGCGAAACAATGCATAAATATGGCTCGGAATTAAATCAAAGACCTGAATGGTTACACTAATTGATGTATTAGGATGAAATCAAATTTTGAAAGATTTTGGACTACATATTGATACGCCCAAACCATAAAATCATAAATATTTGTTATATTTCTCAAAGTAAATTTACCAGTCAAAGAGGTCTGCTATAGCAAACCCTTAAAATTTATAGTTAGTAAAGGCACTATTATATGAGCTATACAGACAATTTCAAAATCAATAAACTTACTGTTAAAAGAGTATATTTGACATTTTCCATCCCCATTGTTCATTACGTATAATCATTTAAAGATTTAACTATCAAATCACAGTGAATATGGAATCAAAAATGAAATGTTCGTTTTTCAGTCAACTGCCCAATCCGTCAATATTTTTACGTCTATGAAAACATCGCTATTCTTGATCACAGAAACTTAGAAAGTTAGAAACAACTCCCAATTGCAGGTAGGTAATGGTAATCGATACAATTTTTCACGTTCCAAAACCTAAGTATATATATTATGTATAGCATATACCGGGGGAAACGAAAGAACGAATTGTCGCAACAATTACAACTCATGTCGATTAGAAGCATTTTAGCCTAACGTTCAATTCAACAACAGATAAATAAAGAATATAATCGTTCACTAACTGAATTCCAGGCCATTATCAACAACCTTACTCGATATAAATGCTTAAATGAGAACCAACCAGACTCAATTCCAAACTTATGTAAATTACCGACTACTTATCATTAAATCGGTATCCGAAGTGTTTCGTGCGTATCCCTTTTTAAATTCATCATATCATTTCATCTGTCTGTGACTTGTTGAATTGTCACTTTCCGACTTAATTTGCTGCGTTTTATAACTTTATAAGCACGTTCCAAACGTTTGTCTTAGTGAATAATCAAACGTCTAACGTTGGGACGCTTAAATAAGATGAAGTACAATTAAGAGGGGGGGGGGGGGGGGGGGAATTATGGGTTTTATTAAAATTTTACAATTTGTAGGCTTAAGTCACTGAAGATAACGCCTTGCAACATGTTTGACGATAGCCTGTAAATTGATAATTTTATCTCAGTATTCACAAAAAATCATCTACCTTGATTGATTCAAAGGAAGAAAATAAATTCCTCTGAAGTTCAATTAGAATAAATCTTAGAAGAATAAGCTTATACAAAAAACGTATCCAAACAAAAAAGTACATACAATAAAACAATTATTAGAGTATCAAACAAGATAAAGTATTTGAAAATTAACTAACCCATGTATATACAACAAGAGAAACGTCATCTTAGGACACGAGGAGAGTGAAGACTCCTCGGACTCAATAGGTGTAATAGATTTTTACTTGTAGTGTTGTAACTAGTTTAAAATGTACATCAGAAAGAATTGTATACCAAAACCAATTCCATCAGATATAAGCTGCTCTTCTCAAACTGGGATACCGACAACTGCATGCCTATACTTATGACTTTATGATGAATGATGAGATGTATCAACCTTATCATTCATATATCCCTGACCTATCTTCATTAACCGGTCATGTTCATCGGAGTCTACAAAACGCAGTGCAGTGCAGGATGCTAGTTACACTTACCAATTACAACTGGATCTGTTCATAAAATTACCCCGAAATTTAATAACCTCGACCAGTATGAAAGTCGTATCAAATCGCTGAGAAACTTAACCAAAAAATACACGTCGTAATGCGTTGTAATATAATTGTCAGGTTATTCACATAAATTTAGAACACTTAGAGCTTTAAGATTACTGAATATAACGAGACTAACTAAGTTGGATCTCGAGGCAAAGCTTTAGCTACCACAAGCCTATATAGTCAGACTATGTTATATGCTGATGGGAATTGCAACTTATCGTCCTAGATATACATTGATAACATTGAGCTAAACAGGGTCCAACCAGCAAATGCCATATGCCAAGACGTAAATGCTGCGAACTTGTCAAAGGCAGCCATGAATTCAAAGTGAACGGCAAGAAGCTGGAAACTGCCCGAGTTACAACATCATTTATCTGTTCCAACGTAGTTTCTGTGGAAAGGCTTACGTCGGTCGCGCTACTCGCTCTCTACGGGTTAGAACTGGAAAACATAGGGTCAAATATTATAAACTTTTAAATGGTGATAAAGTAGTTGAAACAAGTAATGAATATAGTTTGGGCTTACATTTGTTGGATCATGGTTTTAGACAAAGGGAAGATTTTAACAACATTTTTAATGTGTCAATTATTGATAATTCTAGTCCTAAAACTTTAGAAGTTCGCGAACATACATACATTCAACAACTCAAGACTTTAAAACCTTTGGGAATAAACACTATAAATCCTTTTGGCCTTCTCTTACTCCTAACATCTTAATTTTAATTATATAACCGTTTTAAGAGTGTTCAGATTTTTAAAGGAATTTTGGGTTTTACTAACTTTTTACAATTTTTAGGCTTATGTCACTGTAGATGACGCCTTGCAACATGTTTGACGATAGCCTGTAAATTGATAGTTTGATCTCAGTATTTACAACAAATCATCTAGCTTGATTGATTCAAAGGGATAATTAAATTCCTCTGTTGATAACATTGATAACAATGATAACAATGATTGTAATAGAGTAACTTTATACTGATAAATCCCTTCATATAGGCGGATAAATTATAGAAAACTAGAAGGAGGTTTGGGCTCGATTTTGCTTCGACGAATTTATCAGCACCGACTTTACTTTGAGCAAACTTGAACACTTTATTCTTCAACAACAATCGGAGAAAAGTCAAGTTTTCTTCACATCAGTCACACTCGGTAATACCTTTGGTGGTATCATCTTTTGTAGGGCTGTGCGGACGGAATTTGTTGCCTCAAATATTTATAAACTTCTATATGCTATAGCTGTTATGTCAGAATCAAGTTTCACAAAAATTTCAGGTTTACCAGGTAACAATCCCTCTGACATCCTGATCCACACATCGGTAAAGTTGCTCAATGTAATTCGACCTGGTATTGTACGCTAAATAACTCGATTGACTGGGATAGTACGTTATCTCACCAGTCACCATGAATGGGTAATTTCTTAGAATCAGTGCTGTGGCAGTGTGGCAGTACAGCTGTGGCAGATGAACTATTGTACGCCCCTTTATTTGTACATAATTTCCGGTTTTACGACGCTGAATCATATCAAAATGTGGTAGCACTCAAAATATGTATATTGTACCATCATTCAAAGAATGAAGGTGGAAACTATTACACGATTGTCGAAGGTGCGAGTGTATTAATATCCGATACCAGAGCGTTGGTGATTGTATTTCCATCCGATCTGGTAACACAACGCACTGATAAAGGGCTTCATTGTACTTATTTTAAATTCAATTATAACAAAGATCTTAAATGTCTCATTCATTTTGTTACTTTTTCATTTTGTTGTTGGCATTCAATTTACCGATTAGTAAAATTTGCAACATTTATCGAACCCAAAAAAGCTCTTTTTGCGTTGAACTGTAAGGTGCACTTATCTTTTGATTTTACGACTATAACAGAGCATTTCAGCCTACACTAATAAGACACCAAAAGTTATCAAATGAGTGCTCTTACCACAGGAGGGGAGAATATGCGATAATATTAACATATTAGTAATTTCAAATGCCTTCCTCACATAAGTTTTCAGTGGTGGAAATTATATTCTCCCCAGTTCAAATGGTACAGCTGACCAGGTAACACAATTATCTAGTGATATTAATAATCCTTTAGAATTGGACAGTATAATTCGATAACACAGGTGATAATCGAGAAACTACTAATAACTAAACAGTAAACACATTATCAATAATTGAGAAAGTAGAAACTACTAAACAGTAAACACATTACCAATATAAGATCCTGGAGAGGTTCGCTGTTCATTAGTCTCATGATAAGATAATGATTACAGGGATATAAATATCCGGTAGTAAAGACTAGGTAGTAGGTAGGACAAGTGAAACTACTGTTTAGGAGTAAAACAGTAGTTTCACTTGTCGTTCATAGTCTCTACTGACGTTGGTCATTATGAAACTTCGCACGAGATGGACCACGTATTTCCCAATTTAACTTTAGATGATTGTCACAGCAAGAACTTTTAATATAGGCATATGATATTTCACATGTCTATAGTTCAACTAATTGAGTTTCGGTTAATAAAATTTGCGATGCATTTAGTCGAGGGCTAATTGAGGGTAACGAGTCATTTTACATTTTGTATTCTAATGACAGCTTCCAATTATGTAATAAAAGTTTAAACGTGTTCAATCGATTCATC